AACGAGATAAAACACCTTAGGTTTTGTGATGTCCCTATATATGAGTTGGAGGTGTCCCTTCGCTCCTTTGAATTTAGTCTTGATCATGAGGGAGGCGATTGCCTGTTTGGTAAGAAATTTCCCTATCTCATCGACATACTCTTACACTGGACCCTAGCTGGTCCATGTACCCTTTTCTCGGTTCTCTGAATCTAATCTAATGATAACTAAAATGAAAAAGAATGTTTTATTGATTGAATTGTATATTAATAATATAATTTATCTTATAATTTTGTTTTTGAATGGGTTTACAATTACAAGTGCAAGGATTTGAATCTTAATTTTTAGATTGGAAAATGCACTTTATAAATTGATTTATAATTGTTAAATTGTAAGGCTTAGATGTAATTTATCTTATAAATCAATTAAAATATTTTTAATAAGATTATATTTTTATTAATAATAATTTTGTAATTTTAATATTTAATCTGACTTATAAAATATAAATCCCTGACTGAAATGAGAGTCATCCTAAAAAACGGCTATAGTAGACTTGAAGGTTGTGATCCAGAAGACGCAATGTAAAAATCGTGTTTCTCTAGTGGAACTGATATGCTTTGGATTAGATTATAGGAAGTTAATATAATTTCTGGTGTACTAATGATGGCTTATAATGTTTATTGATAATAAATTCCCATAAAAATTATACATATAACATTAAATAAAAGAAAGAACGAATTAATGCATTATGTTTATTAGGTTAAAAGAGTTAATAATTATTTCTCACTTCATACCGAAATAATAATTATTTTTTTATTTTTTCTCTAAATTTTTAGTTTAAAGATAATTTAAATATGTGTTTACTCACTACAATATTCTTAAAAAGGATATAAAAGATAAATAAAAGATTTTTTTACTAGATGGTTAATTAAAGTAAATAAATAACAATAAGTTTTTTTTTTAATGGAAGATAACAGTAGGATTAAAATAAATATATTTGTTTATGAGATTGGTGTTTGTCAACTAGATTTTTAAAAATTTAAGAGGACAAATACTTCAAAATTATGTTGTTTTATTAAAATATCAAGAAAAAAAACTAAAATAAACTCAATTCTAATTTTTAAATAGATTATTTTAGTCTTTTTTAATAAAAATTTATTTAAATAATATAATTTTTTATTTTTTACTAATTTTTTTAAAATTTTGACAAATAAACACTTTTCTCTTTGATTATTATAAAAGAAATAACAATTAATTTAAAATAAAAAATAATAATTTTTTAAAAACATAATAGTTAATTACAAAACATTATTATCAACAAATATCTATAAATCAAAGCAGCAAGAATCATTTTTCATTCTTAAAGAGTACCCAAGTCAATCATAATGGTTTTGGGGTTGCCTAACTACCTCCTAGAGAGAAACGGAAACCTGCATACATTGGCGTATAGCAATTGCCAAATGTATGCATTTTTTATTATTTGTTTTGTGTTGACCATTTTTTATTGTAAAGGGAACTAAACTCATACTCCAATATCAAATTTAAATTGTCAGAACGGTTTTTTTTTTTAGAAATATAATGTAATAACCTTGCACTGGCAGTTTTGATGAGCTGTTCACGTGCATCAAATACCTTACTTTATGTTAAGGTTTAAAGTTCCTATCAAAGGCAATTGTAATATTTTTTCTTCTTTCCAAAAATTCCCCCTAATTCACAAAAAAAAAAAAAAAAAAAAAAAAAAGGGAAGAAAAACTATTAAAGCGCTAGAGTCCATGAACATACAATATGAAGCTAAAGATCACAACCGAAT